TCGACCCTTGCGACTTCTTTTGGGGAGAAGCTCTATGTAAGTTTTTCTACCGTTCCTTCTTTGGATGTTTGTTGTTCTTCTATCCTTATGTCTTGTTTTTCTTTGTCTCTTTTTGCTCAGTCCTTCTCTCATGATCATACCGGCTTCTTTTTCTCGTCTGAAAACGAGAAAAAGTTATCTTCCAAAGTGAGCGCCCTGAAAGCTGATCTTGACCTCCTCTGGGCCGAGATGGAGGCTGAGCGTCAAACGCATCAGGAGGAGGAAAAATCTCTTCGCGCCCGGGTTGTTGAGACCGAGAAGCAGAGGGATGCTGCTTTCTAGGAGGCTCTAAAAGAATTCGGAGGCCGTGAAGAACTTGGAGGCCGTGAAGGAGTGCAACGGTATCGCTGGTTCTTTTTGTTTCCTTCTGCATTCAAATTCTCCTTTCCGCTGACCTGTTGTTTGTTGTCTTGCCCAGCTCTTCGGGTTGAAAAGCAGAAGCACTCGGAGGGCGTTGATGAAATGAAGACTCTTGTTCGTACGAGTCACAACAAGGCTGAGAAGGTAATTACTTGAGCTGAAGAAGAACTTGCGCTTGCTAAGTTGATTAGGCGTGGAGCTGACAGGGATCTTATGCAGGCTCAAAAGACTATTCAAGACTTGACCGGTAGGTTGGCAACAGCTACTGATAACTGGAACGCTTTGTGGAAGTCTTTTCGGTCAGTAGTCGACCTTCTCCGGACTCCAGCGGATGACGGTCAATCTTGGGCTCAATTTGTTCCCCAAGTGCCGACTCATTTCCAAGAGTTCGTGAAGAGGTGTGCCCATCTATGTATCAGGAACGTCCTTGCTCAGGTCCGGGTTCTTTCTCCGGACTTCCCTTTGTCTAAGGTTGCTGATGAAGCTGAGAGCCAAGAGTACTTGGATGCTATTGATAGGTTGGAGCCTGAGGTTGATGACTTAGCCAGGAGAATTGTAGAAAATCTTAATATTGATATCTCTTCTCCTGATGATGATGCTTGATGTAATTGACCTTTATGCTCCCGCCTTGTAATATGACATTATACTTCTTTTTGAATGAAGATTTTTTGTTGACGTCTTCTTTGCCTGGATGAGCCTTATTTATTCTTTGGATGAGTTGTCCAAGTTATCAGAGTTGTTTGACTTGCCGAGTGCTTGTCTTGCTTTCATCTTTGCCATGTAAACAACTCGGCGTGTTATCTTGACAAACTTTCTTGATTTGTCGAGTACTTGTCTGGCCTTCGTCTGCGCCGTGTAAACAACTCGGTATTTGTAGATCATTGTCTTGACAAACTTTCTTGATTTGTCGAGTGCCGTGTAAACAACTCGGTATTTGTAGATCGTTGTCTTGACAAACTTTCTTGATTTCATCCGCGCCGTGTAAACAACTCGGTATTTGTAGATCGTTGTCTTGACAAATTTTCTTGATTTGTCGAGTGCTTGTCTGGCTTTTCGTCTGCACTGTGTAAACAACTCGGTATTTGTAGATCATTGTCTTGACAAACTTTCTTGATTTGCCGAGTGCTTGTCTGGCTTTCGTCTGCGCCGTGTAAACAACTCGGTATTTGTAGATCGTTGTCTTGACAAACTTTCTTGATTTGTCGAGTGCTTGTCTGGCTTTCGTCTGCGCCATGTAAACAACTCGGTATTTATAGATCGTTGTCTTGACAAAATTTCTTGATTTGCCGAGTGCTTGTCTGGCTTTCGTCTGCGCCGTGTAACAACTCGGTATTTGTAGTTCGTTGTCTTGACAAACTTTCTTGATTTGTCAGCCACCGCTACGACGTTGTCTGACCCGCGTTTCCTTTCCTGATGTCTGCTGTTTCGATGATTTTGTCTGTCCGGGTTGTCTCGATTGTTTCTATCCGGGAACCTTTCTCGTGTCTTTTCTTCCGCGGTAATCATCTTTTCTACTGTTCGTCTGAATTCTTCATTGTTTCTCGGATTTTCTTTATAGAAGTCTTGAAATTGCCATCTAGCCATGATTCCGTGAGAGAAAGCTTCAATTACTTCTCGCTCAGTGATGTCATGTACTTGATCTCGTAGTTCGCCGAATCGTCGATAGTAATCTCTGAGACTTTCACCTCCCTTCTGCTTGAGTCCTTTTAGTTCTGCGTGGGTGATTGGGTGTGTAATGATACCTACGAAATTTTCACAGAAAGCTCTTTGCAAGTCCTCCCAATTTCTGATTGATCCTGGATTCAATTTGTCGAACCACTGGAGAGGCATGGTTTCCAGGGCCATGGGAAAGAATAGGGTCTTGATATCGTCGTCTCCTCCGGCTAGTTCAATCGATTGCGAATATATCCTGAGCCACTGCCTTGGTTTAGTCTTGCCATCATATTTGGAGTGGTTGGATGGTTTGAACTTGTGAGGTAGTCGTATTGACGCAAGTCTGTTTGCAAAACAGGGAAATCTATCATGCGATCCGACTTCTTTGAATTCCAATTCGGCACCTCCCTCTGGCCAACTGTTTTTTGATGAGAGTAATCCTGCGAAGCTGTCTGGGCAGGCGCCCTGCTTCTGGCCATTCTTGGTTGTTCAACTCGGTGGTTCTGACTATGGTCCCTTCTACTTTCTCTGTTATGACTTCCACTTGGTCCAAGTCTTTCGAAAGCGGACTTTCTTTGATTTTGCCCCTCTTGCCTATGGGTCGTTGACCTGGCGGGTAGTCGTGAGTGGGTCCTTTCTTCGTGCGTCCTTAGGGCTGCTGTACGGAGAAAATCCTAGAGCTGTTCGTGTTTTTCACTAGGATATGAGGTGGCTCTGAGTTCTTCTAATGCTTCTCGGATCTTATCGTAGGGTGTATTTGCCGTGCGTCTTTCTTCGACTTCTCGTTGTGATTTTCTTCTGTCGTATTCTGCCAATTCTGACTCATATCTGATCCAAGCTTCTTTGCGCTGCTTAGCACGGTGTTGGCGTCCTTGCTTCAACTTGTTCTTTCTTTCTCTGGCTTGTTTCTAATTTTTGGTTTCACCATCGTAGCCCTGGGCAAAGGGTGATATGTTGGATTCTGATTCGTTCGATGACCTAACATCAGGCGCTTCTGGGGGGACCAATGGTGATCGAGGACGGCGAACCATGAGTACTTCCTGTGCGTGAACTGTTCTGGTATTGGCGTTAGTTTCCATACTGTCGGAGTTGCTGATAACTTTGGTAGAGGCCTCGAGGTCGCAGATCGAGTCTCCTTCTTGATAGGGTAGAATTGTTGTTGTCATCGTGTCGATCAGTCGGGTACTGCTATCCTCAGGAACAGAGCCCAGCTAGTGGACGACGTAGTCATGAGATGTTATAGTTAGCACGAGACCTTCCTGAGCTCCCTTCAGTGGCATTCTAAGCACCGGATCGAGGAATCCTTCAGACCGTGTCTGACAAGATGTTGCCATGTTGTGGAGTCCGAAAGGAAAAGGATCCGACTTCTTGAAAAGATTCTGAGCGTTCTCCGAGTTGTATTCTTGATATGCCGAGGTCGTGTTCCGGAGCTCCGTCAGAAAAGAACTCGGTTTCTCGAAAGAACTCGGATAAAACTCTATCTCGGATGTGGAACCTGAGTTCGAGTCGGATTCGCAAAGCCGCGAAACCTGAGTGGAATCGGACACCACGAGCTGCGTAAATCTTCCGACGATTTGATCTGTTGTAGTTGCCGAAATAGAATAGTCTTCATGGTGGTTTGAATCTTCGAGGAGATGGCCTTGGAGCTTGCCATTGTCGTCCGCCTCGCAGATCCATGAGCCGAAGATGAAAGTTGATCCCGTCGAGAAGATCATGCTGTCGAGGTCCATCGAGCTCTCGGATGCAAATCCGCCGAGATCCCCTACCTGGCGCGCCAGCTGTCGGTGTTTTACCACCGGCAACCCGCCACGGGAGTACCCGGGGCGGTGATTTGTTCGGAGGGGTATCGGCGTATGCGGAACTCGACGGTGAACGCAAGAGACAGTCGATTTATCCTGGTTCAGGCCCTCGATCATTGATCGAGTAATAGCCCTACGTCCAGTCGTTGTTAGCCTTGCGTTGGATTGATTGTGAGTCGTACAATTGTTGTGTTGTGTCTAAGTTGTCCTCTCTAGAATCCTGCCCTCTTTTATATAGTCAGGAGGTCAGAATCCTAGTCGGTTTATAATGAGAGTTCCTAGTAGGATTACAGAATAATACTACTACTAGGATTACATGAAAGAAAACCTAGTTAGACTAGATCTTCTCTCTTCCTTGCGGGGTATCCCGTGGGTCCCGCATCGACAACAAGAGCATATGAATATATGGTTAAAAGGCGCACAAATCATATAATTGCGGTATGAGAACTAGCATAGCATGCATATTTGAGAACTAATTCCGCTATGAGAACTAACATAACAGCTTGAGTAGTGCAGCCAAATGAACAAGCAGTTACTGGATAATCAGCCTTTTATATGATCTAGCAAGCTACAGAATAATTCTACAGTGCTTATGATCTACACAAATAATTAAGTAGTTACTGAACATATAAGGCAGACTACATTTCCTTTACTTGAAGAACAGAAATACAACAGTTTTATAGTCCAGCCAACAGTTAAGATGACCAAGAGGCCAAAGAGAAATCTAGAACAGGCCTACCTTACTTAACGACACAGGTTTCCTCTGATGAAATTTTTCAATAGCATATAACAACACAGACTGGGTACTTACAGCAATTTTTCCCTTGTAGTCCTCAAGAAGATCATTATTATTCTCATCCTCATAATCTTTCCAGCGGGGGAGTATTGGGATATGGTCCCGCAAAGCCAAACCAGCCTCTGATGCTAGTTTTGCAGCTTGCATAGGTGCCTCTGGCCGGCGGTTTCCATCAGCAACATGCACTGCGATCTTGGTGTTTAACCCTCTAGAGATTCTATCCAATTCTTTGCCTGCGCGGCACATTTTCATGTTTCGCTGACCTATCATGGCATTTCAGAATCAATTAGTGGAAATCATAGACCCATTAATATGCAAATATGTAAATCATTAATCATGGAAAGGAGCTACAATCACTTGCCTTGTACAGTCATGTTGTTGTGATTGTAAGATTGAGTATGAGCATCCAGAGCGATCAACCCATCTTCTGTGGGAGCATCTTGTGGGTCTGTTGTTGGAACAGGGCAAAATTCATCAGCTGATGATTTTTCCTTTGTCCTCTGCCTTGTCATTCTAGCTGGTTGGTCTTGCTCCTGAAGTGCCATCACTCGCTTTGAAGCTCTTGATCCTCCAGTACTTGGCAAACTCTTGCTAAGGTCAGGGCCCTGCATGATACAAGGAATTAAAACAGGAAAAATAGCTTGCATAGGGCCCACCGCTAGATCTACCCCTAGTTTAAATACTTAGGGTTTCCATGATTGGCCAACAGACATCAGAGGAGGACTCTCTTTGATTGGTTTTGTTTGAATTTTTTCAGTTGTGGGATATCCTCTAGGTCACGTACGGCTTGGGAGTAGACATCATGTTAGGATATCATGTTAAGTAAGCACGATTGGCCGTTGATGTGTAATATTAGAAAATAGCATTCTTTTAATCGAAACTTGTCGATGCATGACTGCATAACTAAAGTGAAATATGTTTTCATGTAACTTTGCACTAAAGAGAGCATTGCACGATTGAAAAGGTAGCCTGCATAAATGCAATCGGTGGGCAAAATTGAATAGTGAAATAGTATAATATGTTCTTGGAGCAATCCATCCCATCGAGACAACAGGTTCATAAAAATCTCAGGTCCAAGACAACATTTACAACCGAAATATATATGGCCCAACATGCAGTTTTTAGACACACCAAATTAACACTATCAAGGCACCAAAACTGCCACCGGACATCTTGGTCCGACCTGCATATTCCTCGCTGCCCTCTTCATTAGATGCAGACAGCTAGTATTCCATGCATCTTGCAGCCAACTAGCAGCCATGGATCTAGAAAATTCTATAAACTATTCCAATGACAATTCAGATGGAAGGGAGCATGATGAAAGAGAGGCCCCTAATATTACCTTGGATTTGCATTGGTTACTCGTAATCGCTATCTTTGTCATCATCTTCGGGAGGGTTTGTTGGAAATTCATTTTCACTGACATATTGCCATCTAGTTTCATCGTCCTCGTCACTTGATTCATTTTGTTCAATTTCCTCTTCTCTTTGTCTACGGAGGTCATCAACTATGGTAGCATCAACAGTATGAAAATCTTCATTGACCGGCTGTTCATCATTTTCCATAGTTCCCTCATTAAGTGCCACCTGAACACCACCTTCACACCCCTCATCTTGGTAGGACAGTGCCACAACATTGGGTATATCATCTTTGCCATTTTCAGCCACATTCCACAAGTGTCTATGTGAAAACTTCTGAACAACTCGCCACTTTTCATGGTACTTGGTGTCTTCCAGGTAGAAAACCTTTTTTGCCATGGCTGCTAGAATGAAAGGATCATTTTTGTACCAGAAGCTGCCATGGTTTATGCTTCTAAAAACCCCATCATCCTTCAGTCTAAACTTCTTTCCATGAGTGTCAAACCAGTCACATCGAAATAGAACCACTGTTTGGTCATCATTACAATATGAGTTGTACCTTAGTTCAATTATTTCCTTCAAGCAACCATAAAAGTCAATATCCTCACCATCATGTGTACCCTCAGCCAAAATTCCGCTATTTTGTGTTCTTCTATTTTTCTCACGGTCCACAGTGTGGAATCGCATACCATTAACAAGACATGCTGAAAAAATTCGAACTCGCAGATTTGGCTCACATGACAATGCAAATAACTCATCCTTTATGTTTTCTTTATCCACATAACGAAGTCTTGCAATCTGCCAAGAAAAAAATTAAACCAACTTGACTAAAACCAAAACAATTGATATACTAATCAAATAAATGGACAAAAAACCCACATTCTTCTTGAACCATGAAGAAAAATGCTTCTCAAGGGTTTTTTTAACATCAGGACATCCTTCGTTCTCCAGTTCTTTCTTGTATATCTTGTAAATGATAGTGACTTCAAACATTAGGTCCAACTAATAATCTAATTACATCAAACAACTAAAATTGTAGATGGGATGACATACTCAATATATGGCTCAACCTCCTCACAGTTGTTTAGCACAAACCAAACCATTTTTTCATAATCACGTTCAAGATATGTAATTGTTGGTGCTCCAAGAACCTCAACTCCATGCTTGAAAACAGAAATGTCACATTTTCTCATATCAATACGTTCTCTATTCCTGCCCTCCTGATTGTGTCGTGTCTCAACATCATCACCAAAGTACCTTGAGCAAATATTCAAGCACTCAGTAGCGACATATGCTTCTGCAATGGACCCTTCAGGCCTTGCCATGTTCCTCACAAACCGTTTCAATGTCAACAACCTTCTTTCAACTGGGTACATCCACCCATACTGCACTGGACCTCTAAGAATTGCCTCTTTAGGTAAATGAATTGCCAAATGCAACATCACATCAAAGAAAGAAGGAGGAAATATTTTCTCAAGTTTGCACAGAATGACTGGGATGTCAACTTTCATTCTTTCCAACACATCTAACTTCAAAGTTTTTGCACAAAGTTGTTGAAAAAAGTTACCTAATTCAGCAAGTGCTTCATATATGTCCTAGTGCATGATTCCTCGGACAGCAACAGGTAAAATCCTTTGAAGAAGAATATGACAGTCATGTGTTTTCAGTCCTTGGAGGCTGGAGCCATCAGCAGTGACACATGTTGCTAAGTTAGAAGCGTATCCATCTGGAAATTTTACACTTCTCAAAAACTCACAAAAATTTTCCTTTTGGGTTTTAGTCATCGTGTAGGGTGCATGAGGAACAGTGTATGAATTTCCATCCCCGATTAAGTGTAAATTCTTCCTAATGGCCATGTCCTCCAAATCAAGTCTAGAATTTAAATTGTCCTTTGACTTCCCAGCAATGCCTAGAAATGTACCAAGGATGTACTCGCATATATTTTTTCAATGTGCATGACATCAAGATTATGGCGCAACTTCAAACTTGACCAATACGGCAAATCCCACAAACACGACCTTCGCTTCCAACATTGGCCTTCTTTATCCCTTTTTCTCCTTTTGCTTTTAGAATATTTTCCTGGTCTAACATCCTTGACCCTCTCTAGTTGCTCCATCAGCTCATCCATAGTAAATTTCTCTGGCTTCTCACGGGTTTCAACTTTACCATCAAACACCTTCCTCCACCTCCATGCATGGTCGCTAGCAAGGAAACGCGACGATGGCCAATATAACATATCTTATTCCTTATTCTTTTGGAGCAAGGATTTTTGTCACAATACACACAAGCATAATAACCTCTTGTGACTCTACCTGATAATGTGCTCAAAGCAGGATAATCATGAATGCACCATATTACAGCAGCATGTAGATTAAACTTCTTCCCAGTAAGTGCATCCAAAGTAGAGACACCTTTCCAAAGCTCTAGCAACTCCTCAATAAGTGGCTCCAAGAAGACATCAATATCCTTTCCTGGGAATTATCGACCAGGGATAAGTAGGCCCATGATGATGTTGGATTGCTCCACACATTCCCATGGAGGGAAGTTGTACGGGATAAGAAACACTGGCCACATGCTGTACGAGGAGCTCATTTTGCCAAATGGGTTGAAACCATCAGTAGCAAGGCCAAGTCTGATGTTCCTTGCATCTTTTGCAAACCACCCATAATTTCTATCAAAGTCTTTCCATGCCTCACCATCAGCTGGATGGCTAAGCTCATTCTCCACTAGTTTCCTCTTCAATTTGTGCCATTGTGCCTCCTCTAACATTTTCTTGGAAGAAAAGATCCTCTTCAACCTAGGAATCAACGGAAAATGCCGCAATACCTTCTCGGGAATCTTCTTTCTTCCATCATTATCTTTCCATCTTGATGCATCACAAACTGGACAAACATCTTTTTCTGTTAACTCCTTTCGAAACAAAACACAATTATTCAGGCACACATGGATTGAATTGTGTCGATACAGAAAGTGACCAACTAGTGAATATTTGTAGTTTTGTTGTACATTGTGATCGGAGGTGGCCAAGCACTCAATGACACAGGATTTATATTGGTTCAGGCAACATGCCCTACGTCCAGTCGGGGTCGGTCGGTGACTTTATTCCTGAGCCCAGGTGCTCAAAGTTTGTTGTGGGGTTACAAACGAGAAGGAGAAAGATGAGGTGTACGAGAGGCCCGGGTGGCTCCGGTTGGAAGGGCGAGAGAGACGGGGACTCGGCTATGAGCTAAGTGTTCAAGCGGGTGCTTGAGGTCCGAACCTGGCGGTTCTGTGGTTGTGAGCTATTGGACTAATTAATCTAAAGGGACTGAGCTTGAATCAATCGGTCCTCCCTGTTGGAGGGAGTGCATCCCCTTTTATAGATGAAGGGGATGGCTTTATAGGTGAGAGGGAGAGGGTACGGATGTTTTTAAGCCTTGATGCCCACGCCGATGAGGATTAGATAATGGTAGGCGCCCACAACGCTGTTGATGTCACTGTAGAATGTCAGGTGCACGTGGGAGGCTGCGTTGTCTTCTTTAGGAAGGGTTGACGTCGGTACCTACAAAATACTACTGGATGCCTAGAGGCATGTGAGGAGTCTCACCACGTTTACCGGGTATGGAGAAACCCAACGCCTACAACACTATTGATGCCCAGAGGCATGTGAGGGGCTTTTTGCCATATGGGAGTCCAGCAGCGCCTACAATACTGTAGGGATAAATATCGACGCCTACAATACTGTTTGTGTCAGGGCGATTGTGGAACACTGTTCCTGCAGGTGTGCAGGGTATGGTCCCTGTACCATGGTTTGACTCGCATGCTGCTTTCTCCGTTCGTCTCTGGTCCCTTCTGAGCGGGCGTCCCCGGTCGGATGGCCCCAGTCGGCTTTAGTTGCGCCGGTCGGAGAAGAGCGACGAGCAGGGTTCTTACGTACCCCGATCAGAGAGACGCGGGGTCGGAGTCGGAAGTAGGGCTCGGGGCAGGCCTTTCGATCAAAGAGGCCGTCCGGAGACGGCTGGAGCCCGAATCGAGCGCTACGGTCGGATAGGTGGACCGAAGTAGCTGATGAGCGGGTGTTGCTCTTCTTGGGCCTGACCTTTCGGTCGGTTGCTGGACCGCCCCTTTGCCCTATTGTTTTTAGACTCTTGGGCCGAGCCTTGGCATAGAAGTCGGTCCCCGAGGGACCCCGGGTTTATGAAAGCGACAGGAGCCCTCGAGCCCCTGGGCGATTTGGGTAGAATCGTTTGGGGGATTTTTGTTTTGTCGATGGGTGCACGCGAGCGCACCCGCGGGTGTAGCCCCCGAGCCCCCGGGCGGTTCGGCAGAACCGTCTGGGGGTGTTTTGTGTCATCAGGGGAAGTTTTCTGTTTTGTCGGCGGGTGCGCGTGAGCGCACCCGCGGGTGTAGCCCCCGAGCCCCCAGGCGGTTCGGGCGGAACCGTCTGAGGGGTGTTCGGTTTAGCGGGCGTGTGTTCGTGTTTTTAGTCTGAGACGGAATTTTGTCAACCAAGGCATCGTTGTGCTGCCGAGGTGTTTTTAGGCGCGAAGATTGGATTGAAACAGAACTTTCTGATCCCGACGTCGATGCGCGCCGTGGATCGAGCGAGGAAGTTAGTTCGGACGCGAGAGAGCTTACTGACCCTAGCGTCGATGCGCGCCGTGGGATCGAGTGAGGGAGTTAGTTCGGTCGTGAGAGAGCTCACTGATCCTGGCGTCGATGCGTGCCGTGGGATCGGGTGAGGGAGTTAATTCGGTCATGAGAGAGCTCACTGATCCTGGCGTCGATGCGCGCCGTGGGATCGGGTGAGGGAGTTAGTTCGGTTGTGAGAGAGCTCACTGATCCTGGCATCGATGCGCGCCATGGGATCGGGTGAGCGAGTTAGTTCGGACAGACCCTGGCATCGGTGCGCACCGTGGTTTTGAAATGGTTAGTTCAGGGGACGGACGAGATCGAGCCCGTGGGTCCTGGTGTCGGTGCGCACCGTGGGACCGGGCGGGTTAGAGTCGTGGATCCTTGGCCTTGGCGCAGCCTAGGTAGCCAAGGTAGTTAGTTCTGTTAGTTTTCACGCGAGTTCGGAGTTGCGGTCCCTGGATTTTTGGAGCGCAGTTGGAAGTGAAGCCGTTACGCGAGTTCGGAGTTGCGGTCCCAAGTTGTAGCCGGATGTCGTAGATCCTGTCGACGCGAGTTCGGGGTCACGGTCCCAGGGTTTTTGGAGCCCAGTCGAAAGTGAAGCCGTTACGCGAGTTCAAAGTCGTGGTCCCAAGCCGTAGCCGGATGTCGTAGATCCTATCGACGCGAGTTCGGGGTCACGGTCCCAGGGTTTTTGGAGCGCAGTCGGAAGTGAAGCCGTTACGCGAGTTCGGAGTCGCGGTCCCAGGGTTTTTGGCTTGAGCCCCCGAGCCCTGTCAGGCCTTCATGGGGGTCAATGTGAGTTTGTGTGCGTTACCCCATCCGGTTCCTCACAACCGGAGGGGCTGAGTTTCGTCGCTTGTCCCGATCGCTCGGGCTCGAAGACTAGCTCGGTGAGTTCGCTTAACGGGTGTGATTGAGCGGAATCCGAGTCCGTCGTTCGTGACAGGGTCAACATAGCCCTCTTGTGATATTCCACTACTCCTTTACCTGCAACCCGGCAGATGCCTAGGTCATTCTGGAGACCGACCTGGGTGGCCTAACGGCCTCCCCTCGATGGAGATTTTGTGGGCCTGGCGAGAGGTTTAGGATCGAACGAGAAGGTTGAGATGACCCGGTTTGCCGGACCGGGCGAGGGCCGCATGGTGCTCATCTACGGTTTTCTCCCCTGGCTCTGTTGTTTGCTCATGTTGAATGAGGCAACCCCCGCTTTGTGACACAACACGGAGCGTTCTGGTGCATTTCACTGCACGTGCAATGCTTAGTTCCCGAGCCCCGGGCGGTTTAGGACCCGAATCATCCGGGAGGCACAGGCGTATGGAATGAAATGCGCGTATGGATGTATGAAATGATTTATAATGAAATAGAGGGGGTTTTGGTAGTGTTTACCTTTGACGACTGGAGTGGCGGGGTTCGGAGAGCTTCAGTCGAAAACATTCGACCGGGATCCATGCTCGTCATTTGTGATGGAGTCGACATGGCCTACATGGGGTGTCCCTTTGCTTCCTACTTGTGTCTCGGGGTGGATACTGAGCGACTCGATCGACTCAGGGGGCCGGTTGGTCTCCCGGCGGAGATTTCGTTTTTGGTCTCCTAGGTCTGTCCTGGGGAAACGGGGAGCCGCCCGCGTGTGGTGACGCTTCGGTTTTTGCACCCGTTCGTGCGATAGTGGTGGGCCATACCCAGACCACGTTTCATCTTACCAGGCAACGTT